TTCGTTCAGAGCTTTCACGAAGAAGTCTGACCATCGCATAGGCGGTCGTCCAGGCGTTCGCTTGACATCCCGTGGAATCCAGTCGGTGATCGCTCTGGTCCAGCGGTCGTCCTCGAAACGCATGACGTGTCCGGCCCACCTGATCTTCGAAACCTTGGCAAATGCGGCGGCGTCTCTGATCTTCGATCGTCGGCGGAGTGCGGAGCTCCGGATTCCCTCTCTCACTTGCGTGTAGCGGGAAACTCCGAGCATCGCCCTTTCGATGGCGCGTTGAATAACGCCGACCGCATGCTCATCCTGCTTTCGTAGAGTCCAAGTCTCTGAGGCGTACGTCAAGGCAGGAAGGACCGCGGAATCGAAGAGGTGGGCACGGAGCTTGGTGTTCTTCGTCTTCTTCGCTACTCCCTCGATGTTCTTGAAGGCTCCCCAAGCCGCTCGCTTCCTCCTGCTCAGCTCTGGAGCTAAGTCATTCATCATATTGATTTCACGACCCAGGTACACATAGCATTCAGAGATGGTCGTTCCGTTGAGCGTGAATGGGGCATCAGAAACCAATCCGTTTCTCATGAACATCGTCTTCGTTAGATTCAGCCGTAGACCGATTTTTCCACACGCGCAGTCGAATTCAGCCAGCATTCGTTCCGCTTGCTCGATGTTTGGTGTTATCAAAACGATGTCAGCAAAGCGGAGATGGTGTAGTTGCCGACCGTCGATCTTCACTCCCATGTCTTCCCATTCCAGTTGACGCATGACGTTCTCGAGAGAGGCGCTGAAGAGCTTGGGCGAGATGGTGTCGCCCTGTCGGACCCCTCTCTTCACATCGATGATGATCTCCTTGTAGAATGGTGAGATCTTGGTCGTGAAGTTGCTGTAGAGCTCACGAAGAATCCTGATGTACTGAGTAGGAATACCCTGGTTGCCCAGGGCTTCGATAACCGCTTCTGTCTCAACGGAGTCGAAGGCTTTCTTCAAGTCGATGAACGTGAGACATAGCGGCATCTTGTACTCTCGCGATACTTCAATGAGCTTCGTTACCGTGTGGATGTGATCGATCGTGCTGAATCCTCTTCGAAACCCTGCTTGCTCGCATGGCTGTCCTTCGTCTAGTGTTCTGCCAATCCTGTTCAGGATGACTCGTGTGAAGAGTTTGTAGACTACAGACAGCAGGCAGATTGGGCGATAATTGCCAATGTCGTACAGGTCTCCCTTCTTGTACAGCAACACAGTCTTGCTGGTTTTCCACGAGGTGGGTACCTTGCATTCCGACAGGTAGCGCGTGAAGAGCCAGAGTTTTGACAAGAACTGGCGGAAGATTCTTCAGATGTTCGGGTCTGATCCTGTCGGGACCGGGTGCCGTACGATTCTTCACCGACGAGATGGCGTGTCGGACTTCGGAAGGGAGAACTGCAGGAACGACATATCCATCCTGCTCCAAGCGGTATGGTTGCAGGTGGACGTGGCTGTCAAAGAGATCCGAGTAGAAGTCGTGGATGACTTTCTCCATTGCCCTTCTGGATGCGTGATTGTTCCTTCCGGACGTGGAAGGGCGGTCATCTTGGTCTTACCGTTGGCGAAG